TTTCGAGATGGACACAGAGGCGGTGAAAAAAGGCCTCTCACTTTTTTTATGGCCAGCGAAGAGAATGAATCCCATTGGAAGAAGCAGGTAAAGTAATGGCCCCGGTCCATGTATTGCTTGCAGCAGCATGAACATAATGAGCTCAACAATTAAGCCAGTAGTGCTAATCAATAACGTATGAAATAGATGAGCCAGTCACCTTTATTTGACGAAAGGGCATTCAGCAACATTCTCTGTATTTCTGAAAAACATTCATTGGCGTCTTGCTGTTCAAGATGGCCATGTTCGTCTCGGGAACTAAATTGTGGCAGTATAGTGTGCAAAGCCTGAAAACACAACAGCATTGGTTTGATTATTGAACCGGCGAATACGCTGTACAGAGAATCTGGCGCTGTTCGGCTTGAGAGAGGCATTTCCACTTTCTCTAGTTCCTGCTAAATAACAACACAAAAAGACCTGTGAACTGCTGTCAAAAGCTCTAGCCATTGCATAGCTTAATAGGCCCCCACAGGAGGCATCACCAGTGACGGTGGAAACTCACAATCTGCCCCCGCCAAGCCGAACTGCTCCAAGAACTTAGCGAGCGGAGCGCGCAAACTAGTGAGACAATTTCTTGCTAGTTGTTTTGACACAAAACACCCTCCCCCCCCCCCCCACTTCGCTCGACGGTGTTTTCTGTGAGAAAGCCGGGGATTTTTGGGAAATCAAGCTATGCAACTCCGAAAACTCCGAGGAAAAGGAGGAAAGTTGGGGAATTCAGGAAGATGGTTGGTAGAATGGGGGATCGAAGAGAAGGAAATGAGAAAGTGGAGCGCTTTTTCGCAAAGGTTTTGCCTAACGTAAGGGCCCTGAACTTAACACTGTCACGCGGAATCCCCTGGTGCGAATACCGCGCACGGGATTCCCCAGCAACGACTCTCCCACCGAGCTCGAAAGTAAGGATATAAACACGGGAAAGGGATCTATGCGGTGAGACTATGCGGACGAGTGGACTCGATCACGCCTCCGCTTTCCGCTACTTCAATTACAGTAGCCTCAAAGAGAAACACGAATTTTAGTGAGAATACCGAAGCATGGGAACTCACCTGGAGCATGAAAAAGGGTACAAGAGGTTCATCGGTTCGACGAGGATTATCGAGCATTTCGTAAACGCTCTTGACGGCCATCGCCATTTTCTTGTTCGCATCCGTTTCCGAGCCGCCCTGTTTCAGAAACTGGAGACCATCTTTGATTTCCGGAATGGTCTGAAACAGTACCAGCACTCTGGGAATTGTTAGATCCGGAGAACAGGAGAATAAGAAAACGTGCCGCTGGGAAGTACGGATCTGGTGAACTGTGTGATAGGAGAAAGCGTGAACATCGATCGGCGCCAAGATATTTCACAGTCCGCGAACCGATACTACTGTTACCCAGGCAGTGGGACCCCTCCCCCATAGGATGGCCC